CTTGAACACTGTCGCCGAACACTTCACTGGAATGGGCTACACTCGAGCCACTTATCTGGCACTACGAGAAGGTAGTTCGGTAAGCCGGCCCACCACAACTATCCTACGGGAAGTGTCAAGCACGCTTTTATCCCGTAAGAAATCATTGATCACTGATCAATGCATGTCAGCTGAGGGTGAGAAACACACCTCAACTAATGTGCCACAATAGAAAAGGATAAGATACTTAAAAAAATTGCACCACTAAAAAGTGCAATAGTAAGTAAGCTTATGTTGAATATTATAGTTTGCATTTCTTGTGAGATCGGAATCAGATGGAGATGGACAAAGAAACCCAAAACACAAATGCCACTGGGCCGGCTTTCGCCATATCAGCAAATGTGTCCAACCATGACTTATTCTTTTAACAACTGTCTCGAACCTGGTGAAAATTAAGAACTCCGTTACCTAGTCGGATTTATGCACCTTAACAGGTGCTCCACATTCTTACTCACTATGGTACTTGTCTTCGTTCATGAAATTTTGCCACTAGGAACTGCAGCCGTGTTATCGGAAGGCATCAGACACTAAAATGATAGCCCGTTGAGTATAGACTGTAAGCATCCTCAGATTGAGTACCAAACACATCTTCACATTTAAATTACTGCGCAGGCTGTATAGCTCACTTACCATCGCAATGAGGCTGGACCTTACAGTGGTGCGATGGTTTGTGTGCCTCCGCGATCCATTGAGCTATGCTGGGTGTTGCTTTTGCACCTTCAGAGTCACTCATACCAGATTGGGCAATGCTTAGAGGCTAGACAAACTCAGCCTCCTGGTCCTCCAGGTTGGGGGTTGGAATGAGGGTGGCAATTATTCCTTAAAACGGACTCCTTGTAGCCCAACGCCAAACCCGTTGCCTTGCGGTCAGGTTTTGAACCAAAGACTTTGGTTGAGAACCCTAATCGTTCTCCTGTCTAGGCCTGGGCAACCTGACAGTATCCTGCCCACGCAATACAATGAATCTTTCCACAAACCATTTCTTGATGCTCTGGCCACCGCAGAGGATAATCAACGGTGCCCTATCTTCTGCATCTAGCAGTGTGGATAGGGCTTTGGATGCTACTGCTCAAGCCTTCCCGTCTACTTATTCCCCCTCTTACGCTTTTGCGCTCTTACCGTCCGATTCCAACTTCACTTTTATCCCCCCACTTTTCAGCCCCCCGATTCTTGGCCCTCCCCCAACATGCTTTGCTAGGCATTTATCTTCTAATTTCAACGCACATGTGAAAGCGGAGCGTCACTCCTCTCCTGTCGACAAGCCCATGTCCAACCAAGCGGTCCATTCCAATTCATCGGCTTCTATTTGGAGCTCACGATCCTCCTTCCGATTGGCATGCCTCAATGTACGCACATTACTACAGTTCGGTCAACAGGCAGCACTTGCCAGAACATTGGGGACCCTCTCGATCGATTTCTGCTGCCTATCAGAGACCTGCCTGCATGACTCCAGCTTTGTGCTCACTCTGCGATCCCCTTCAGGTGACGCAAGCAGTGTTTTTTCACTGCGCCTATCCGGTGACGATGCAGCTTTGAGCACCGGCCAAGCTGGTGTTGGCATTGCCCTGAGTCCCCGGGCTGAAGCTGTTCTGGTTGATTGCATTCTAATCAGTAGCCGGATGTGCGGTTCGATTGGCTGGCTCGTTCAAAGTTTCGAAGTCGCGCGGGTCTAATAGGTGTCTATTCATCGTGGCTGCCTACGCACCCACAAATTAGCGTTGATTCTGTAAAGAACGACTTCTACCGCCAACTGACCCTGCTCCTTCGCCACAGAAGAAGTACGGACACTGTTGTGCTGGCGGGGGATCTGAAGGCACAAGTTGGAAAATTATCCACTGCTGAAATGCATCTGGGCGGTCAGCACGGTGTAGGCTCCCGTAATAATAACGGCGAGCGGTTACTTCATTTGTGTGAAGATGTCCGTTTATTTCTTGCGAGCACTCACTTCCGACACAGCACCTGCCGGAAGGTGACTTAGCGCCCACCAGCCTCAAACCAGCTATGGACGCAGATCGATCACATTGCTATCAGTTACCGCTGGAGAGGCTGCATCCAGAACTGTCGCTCGATTTGGAGCGCATGTGTGGACAACGATCATGCACTTGTACGTGCTGACATGGCGAAAGCCCACGACGACGTTGTGAGCGCATTGATACCAACCAACTGGCAAAGCCAGCGATACTGAATGCGTATCGAAGTACGCTGCCATCCGAGTTGAGTAATCGCTCACTGGAGACAATTGATGGTCACTGGTCACATGTTCACCAGACGTTACTAGCAGCAGGCAAGTCCTCATGTGGTATGTCTAATAGCCAACATGGATATTGGGTCTCTTCTCGGTTTCTGGAACTTATCGACGCTCGCCGACATTTCCCGGCTGGAAGCGAACACAATGAAACTCGCAAAGAACTCTGGGCAAAACTCCGTGCTAGCCTAAAGAGAGACCGGGAATCTTGGTGGTCTGATTGTGCGTCAGAGAATGAAGTGGCCGCTGCCCTTGGCAACCATCGTAAGTTATTACGTATGATATGGGAAATGGGCAGCAGGAGACCTAGTGCTAGTGAAACCATACGTGACGTGAGTGGACAGCCTACCCATAATATGTCAAAACGTTTGGAGCTTTAGGCTGAGCATTTTGAAAAGCAATTTAATCGGATAGAATTGTTCGATTCTTCGCCTGTCAGTGATCGCCCTGCTCCGTGTGCTGTCTCTTAGGATTTACCCTCTCGTTCAGAAGTCGAACGTGAGATCGGACTGTTGAAGTTGAACAAAGCCGAGGGACCAGATGATCTTCCTCCAGCCCTCTTCAAATTCGGAGGCTCTGCTCTTGTTGATGCTTTACTTGAATCACTAGTGAAACTGTGGGAGCAGGAGACTGTCCCAACCGACTGGAGCCGCTCCGTTATTGTTGCCATCTTCAAAGGCAGCTCGTGTTCGGAATGCGGCAACCATAGAGGAGTCAGTCTGATCTCCATCCCCTCCAAATTACTCACCTCCATAAGCCTTCACAGACTGACTGGCGCTCGTGAAAACCAGGTTCGTGAGGAGCAAGCCTGGTTTCGTCGGGGCCGTGGCTGCATCGACCACATCTTCACCTTGCTTCAGTTGTTGGAGCACCGTCACACATATTGGCAGCCCACCGTAGTCGTGTTCCTCGACATCAAAGGTGCCTTCGATTCGGTTGATCGATGTGCCCTTTGTAATTGTCTACTCAGGAAAGGTGTGCACGAGAAATATGTAAATATTATCCGAGCATTATATGCGCGTAGCACGGGCAGAGTGAGGGCTTACGGCAAGCTGTCGCCACCCTTCAATATCTCCAGCGGTGTGAGACAAGGATGCCTGCTGTCACCTTTCCTCTTCAACTTCGCTACTGATGAAGTCATGGAGATTGCATTTACAGGACATGACTTAGAAGGCGTGCAGCTACTCCCAGGAGAACGACTTCTTGACTTAGATTATGTAGACGACATTGCCCTCATCTGTGACAGCTCCCAGACGTCCCAAACCGCGCTGGACAGATTAGCACTGCCCGTCAGCCGCTTCGGGCTTTGCTTTGCAAAGATTTCCTCGAAGATTGGCAGGGATCGCCTCCTGCACTGACGCTTGGTGGGGATCAGCTAGAAGTCGTTCGGAAATTCAACTACCTGGGAAGTTGTATCAGCGACGGTTGGATCGAAGATGAGATCACGAACTGTATAGCAAAAGCTCGAGGTGTTTTGCTAAACTTCGCCACCTATGGCGGCGGCGCGACATCACCCTCACCCTGAAGGGTAGAATGTACAATGCAGCTGTACGTTCGACATTACTGTACGGTTGCGAAACCTGGCCCCTAAGATCGGCGGACATGAAGAGGCTAGTTACGTTCGACCATCGGTGCCTTCGCAGTTTGGCTCACATCTGACACGGAACACCGCGTGAGTAACGAGCGTGTTCGACGCCTAGTTTACGGCACAGAAAATGGAACTGAACCGCTCAGCACCGTCATTTCATGCACCAGGCTCCGATGGCCTGGCCACGTGTTGCGCATGCCAGCCCACCGACTTCCACAACGTGCGTTGTTTGCTCACCGGGGAGGTGGATGGAAGAACAGGAGAAGTGGCCAAGCGATGACTTGGTCCAGAGGAATGAGGACCCTCCCTTCGGAGCTGGCCTAGGTTGGAACGTCACGGCTCCCTGGTTGGGGTCCAAAAGACGGTGAACACATTTGGCTGGATACACTTGCTGTCATGGCAAGTAGCCGACCTCAGTTGCGTTCATGCTCTGAGTTTCTTTGTCTCTCCCCATCCCGCTTAGCCTCCCCCTTCACCTACGATCTCTTTTCGTAGCGTAAAACATAATTATTTTTCTTTTTACCTAGTAGCCGGCTGGTAGCTTACCGAAAAGATGCCCATCCGTTGCTTGTAGCTCAGCTGGCACGCAACTGTTTTATTTATTTTGCTTTTCCTTTATGTATTGCGGCACAGTAGCTGAGGTGTTCTCCACCTCTAGCTGACGTGTATAATCATGAATGGTGATGCTCACGTGAGCCGTGACCTAGAAACGGTCACACTAGTAACGACTTGCCACTGCTTGAAAACCATTGCCACTTCAACCTTGAGAGCCACAACAGCAGGAATTGCCATCACGTGCTCCAATATCTATTTATCTTAAGTCATTTTCTGTTGTTCCTTCCCACCCAAGCCTTATTATTCAGGAACAGGATACGAGCTCCAATTCACTGCTGCTCTGCGTCCGTCCAACTACAGGAATCCTCTTCAGTGATGGTAGATACGCAGTTTGGTAAGACTCACGGAATCCACTGATCGGTCACATGTCTCACTAACCTCGCACGTGTCTATCGATCAGTGACTTTTGAACCACACCGCTTCTTACGCTAAAGCAAGCGAGATGTGAAGGTATCGCTCAGATGTGGAGGCCCGCGAAACGCGCCAGAGGGATTATCGTTTACTTACTCCTAGGAGGAATATTAACTTGTGTCGGTTCAATCTTTCTAATTTTTGGAGCAGTAGCTTGGGGCCTTTTGGACTTTAATACTTTGGGGTGAGTCCCGCTTCACCTTTGTGCTAACTCACCTGTTCTCAGTCTCACTTCTCTTGGGTCGTCTGGGGAGGAGCCGTCGTAAGTTTCAACACTAGACCATACGAACCTTATTTGTAGCAAAACTATCCAGATTCTGGGTGCTTCAATCACCGTTATCGGTACAGTGATGGTAATCTTAGGCCTCAGTCTGTGCGCATTGACACCGGTAATCACACCTAGTTTATACCTAACCTCGCTGGATTTTCAGATTCTATTGCATCGCGTCCGCTACAAGTAAATCTTTTCCAGGCGTTAATCCGTTTGCCAGTTAATGTTTTTTTGTTTATGCATCTAGCCAGTAACGTGACGAAAGTGTCGAATTCTTCTCACCTACTAGGTTAATGTTAGCGCCGAGCGTACGTAACATTTTATCGCGTGATCGGAAATTCTACTTCAGAAGTGTCTCGCATATTAAGGTTTTCAGCAAAGTAGAAGATATTTAAGTGTGTGAACGATGGGTTCTAACAGCCATATTGCCTCGCGTCATTCTCATCAGCACCATCGATAATGGTAAATCAACGTAGTGTATCGATAGTTCGCTTTCTAAAAATACCTTGTTCACTTTACTACTGAGAACAGAAGGGGCTCCTAATGCAGAACAAAAGCATCCTAGGCAAACTTTCAACATCAAGGCGCTCATGCATCCTCGCATATGTTCGGTCACAAACAGCTGAATATCGCATTAAGCTGATGTTGATAAAACGTACCCCTTACTGCCCTTACCTCTCCATGTCGTAACCAACCATATACATTTACAGGCAAACAGGTTAGAGACATAAGTAAAAAAATAAAAAGTAAATCGCCAGCTGTACACCGGAACGGCGCTTCGCTGACACGCGGGCACCACCAGTCGCGCATGGGTTGAGTATATCGCGAGGACGCCCGCCCCTACGCGAATTCTAACCGGTGACCTTGTGCTTGCAAACCAGGAGCGCATTACCATTCGGCCACAGGCCGATCTACAGAACACTGGCCAGTAGTGCCAGCTGCAAGTTGCACTCATAATGCCTGGTAGCGTTCCACCAGTGCGGCGCGATAATGCAAATACAAATTGGACTATGCTATCCAACTCCTGTAAATGAGTATCGTCTCCTACGTTGCAATAAAGGACTATATTTTTTGTGGAATTGCTACCCTTAAAATGGTTCAACATGCGTATAACTAAGAAAACGCAGTTTCGTGTGTGTGCTCGTTGCGATAGCGAACAATGGCAGAAACGGAAGTTTCTGCTGAATGAACAGATGCCAACGTGTGCATATGGTTGCATACAACTTAATACTCATAGATGTTGCGTCCCCATCATTAAGAGTCAGAAATTAATGTCAAAAATCGAGATTTATCCCTTAAGTATGAAGCGTAAGAAATCGTTCGTTAAAATAAAATTGATTGCATCCCTGTAATGAGGAAAAAACCGTTAATATCCCAGATAATGTAAATCAGTTTGGACATCAAAGATTTTATGAAAACACTTCCAAGCTCCATTCAGCTTGCCGGCTGGTGGAATACTGCCTTAGTGTTTATAACCGAGTAAACGGTGGGTTGCCTGGTCCACCATCTTGCGAGTTTGGCCTACAGCACCCAATCAAGTGTCCGGTGAATTTGTCCCCCTCTGACTGGACAGTAGGCGCCTCATCCGAGCCGTACGAAGGAAAAACGCATGGCTATGTAGATGTATACCATCGTTTCAGTGGTAGCATGACGCGCGTACCTGAACCCACTCCACTTTATTCGTTCTGCTCACGTCACTTGCAGTGCACCGGACTTGCTCTGACTAGTGTAGCACTTGCAACTGGAGGTAAGACAAATAAATAATATGCCACTGTGTACCGTTTAATTTGCCTCTTGGACTACTCCACAGACATGAATTGCTATAGTCTCATTTCACATGGATAAGTTCGTTACGAATATGTGTGCTATCGTCAGTGTGCCTAGCATTTAACCCCACAAGATTGTAATCCCACTGATATCTAGTCCGTCCATGTGGCTTCTCTGGTAGGTGCCACTTTATTGACACAGCTGTGAGCTTCCTGATAAGACAAACAAGGAAACACATGAGTCACGAAACTCGCTCCTAAGACGTAGATATATTTGATTGGCGGCGTCCATTTTCGGATTTGCCTGTCACTGCGGCCTCTATGGGGACCGCCACAGGACCCCTGCGCCTACAGAGAGACCATGCGTGGCTTGCGCTACACTATCCACAGTTCCACGCACGTACCCCATTTCCGGTGTAAAGCCGAAAGAATATGACCAAGAGTCGTGTGGCTGGAAGCTACGTTTCATCAACGCAGTCGATCCACACAACTTCCCCAGAAAACACAAGCCCGATGTATTGGGGGAATTAAGCACACACAATGCGGTGGCTGGACTGTAGACTGTTCCACACAAAAGCCGTGTACATAGAACTACTCTTTGAGCCTAGCACGGTCACGAAGACCGTGCATCCCGTCCACTCCGGAAAAGACCAACTGTCTCCTGGAGCCACTATAGAGGAGCTGGTGGGTTCTAGATAGGTAGGCACCTTGTCAACATGCACATCAAGTACAACCACATAAAGGATGTCAAGAAACAGCTAAGCAAGAAAAGACGATATCAAAAAAGCGAATAAAGCATTTGGATACGCTGACATAACTAACTTACCATAAATAATAAATTGGTTATCAACACACCCGCATTTAACTCATGGCAGTAAAATAAGTCAGGCGTGAATAAAATTAATGAACTAACCACCCTTTATTTAATCTGTGTACAAGTTAATAGACGATTATTCATATATACATTAAAATGCGTTAATAAGGTGTGTATTAATAAAGTATAGCAAACCGATCACCTGAAATAAAAATTTCTGCACATAAGCACGTCGTTAGTAAATCCAATGAAACCTAGCAACCAACGCTGCGCCGGTTCTGCCTACGTTCTCAGCAGCATCCATTATCTTTTCCATGTTGGTCCCGAGTGGCCTCGCTTATGGCAAACTAGGCCTGCCTGATTCATGCACTGTGGACCACATGTGCAACAGCACCATGCGCTCGACCTCGATGGAGTACACCCCATCGGTGCCTGATGCTTCCGCAACTGCCGCTTCTTCTCTACATACACGAGGGCTTTCTTCTGCACCTCGGCAACTGCCTTCAAGAGCAGATCGTGCCATGCACGCCGATCAACCACCTTCGATTCCCAACAACTAAAATCAATACAGGAACGTGTTCGGCTTACCTTGATCATGTCCCGGTAACGAAGCTTCAGTTTCCACACTTGCCGCTTCCCCACACTCAGCTGAGTATATAACAGCTGCCTCGACATCTTCGTCGAATCCATTCGGCAGACCTGACCGAGCCATCTCAGGTGTCTCAACAAAAGTATGCAGTCCAATGCATACATTCCACTTCGGCGCAGCACCTCCATGTCTGCAACTCTGTTGCACCAACCGACACGCAGAATCCGTCTCAGACACTGTTGATGAAACCGCTCGAGATATCACATATCTCTTCGGTACAGCTCCCACGCTTCATTGCCGTACAAAAATCGGAGAGCACCATGGATTTGTACACCATCTGCTTCGTGCCAATGGCAAGCTGGTGGTTGTTACACATCCGGTACTCCATCTATCCGAATGCCACCAGTGCTTTCGAAACGCTGATACGAAGCTTACTGCGTATTTGCTTGCCTGTCAAAACCACACGCCCAAAGTAGCAGAAGCGGACGGTGGCTGCCGATACGCAATCATCAACGCTGATTTGCGGCAAATTTGCAGATTGCACCTCCTGTGAAGGCTGAAAGCTACAGACAGTTTTGCTTGTGTTGGTGGTGAGCCCGAATTTTGCCACTGTCGAAGCCAGAGCACTAATTACGTGCTGCAACTCATCCGTGCAGTGTGCAAACAACGCACAGTCGTCAGCCAACAGCAACCTAGGAATAGTTGTCTCACAGACTAGAGTTCTCGCACCGAAACGATGGGTGTTCCGCAACCCATCAACAATACGGTGTCTTACAAGAACACCACAAGCACTAGCAGCATAAAACTCACGAGGCAAAATGGTATGAAGGTAAATATTAAACAGGGCAGGAGCTAAGACAGTCTTGTTACACACAAGTGACAACTGTAAAGTCATCCGAGCTCTGTCTACTCAGCTGCATCCTCGTCGGCATACCACGGTGCAGACGTACAATTAAACCTACAAACTTTGGAGGACAACCAAACTTACCTAACACCAGCCACAATGCCTCACGGTTCACTGTATCAAATGCTTTGGCGAAATCTGAAAACAGTGAATACAACGGCCAGTGTCTTTTTCTGCATCTTCTCTATGGTGCTGCGACCCGAACGCAATCCACGTTACTCTTCCGCCACGTTCATTTCCACAAACTGACTGACGAGGCGGTTGAGCAGGATTCGGGCAATCACTTTGCCCACATAGCTCAGAAAGTTAATGCTCCGATAATTCGTGCAACACTGCTTGCTCCGTTTGCCTTGTACACTGGTAGCACAACGGCATCCTTCAGCTCTGCCGGCACCTATTTCTCAATCCACACGATTTGTACCAAGTGGTGCATCGCAGTCACCAACGTAGGTCCGCCGTGTTTCAATACTTCTGGTGGGATGCCGTCACCCCCGGCACACTTGCCGTTTCGCAGCAGAGCAAGTGCGCTCTGCGTCTCATCCATTGTCGACGTGTCCGCCAGACTCACATTCACATCGTGCTGCTTCAGGCCGTGCAATGCAGGCCACTCAATCTCTGAACAGTTATGCAAGAGACAGTCAAAGTCTGTTTACCAGATCTGCATTATGTGTTCAGTCGGTGTGCAGGTAGCTCCTGAACTACCATCGATCAGCATTCTAAGCCGCTCCAATCTTGGTCCATACACCGCCTTCAAGGAGTCAAATGATTCCTTGTGTTGGTGGCTTTCGGCGTAGCATTCCATCTGCTACGCCTTCGCTGTCCACCATGCATTTTTTATGCGACGGAGTTCTCGGGTCAGTCGCCTTCGAAGTTTGCGATACTGACTATTATTCCCCAAGTCACTGGGGTCTGCCACATGTGCAGTAAATGCTGCATTCTTCTCCGACACCAATGCGCCAATCGTCGCATTGTTCTCATCAAAACAATCAGGCCGCTTACAGTTTGCACGCCCGATGGTCGCCTCGGTAGCAGCTGTCACCTGGTCACGAATGTGCTGCTACATGTCGTCCACCGTGGCTATGCATTCCACATAACACAGGCGTGCAGCCATCG